CTTCTTCTATTCAGGCAAACATGTCATTTTACTTTGTAGTTGAAATTTGGCATCTTATGCTTTTTATTTTACTATTTTGCTTTACATTCTTTACCATTTTTACATTCTCATTTTTTTAATTTATTTACTGTACTATATTTGAATCAGTGACTGATTTTTCACTATCAAATTAATTATTTTTAACTAATTCAAATTTAGAGAACAGTATGAAAAAAATAATTTCTGCCGAATTCCAATAAGCATGAAAATTAAAGGAAAAAAGTATGCGCGAGAGATCTGAAAAAAAGTGTGCCGCTCTCGCTGTTTTCAGTAGGCTACTCTTCCGATATAAATATATGTGTTTTTGCGATGTTTGTAGCTTTCTCTCAATATAAAATGGACTCAAGCTCTTGAAAAGGAAGTGCGAACGATAAGATTATGTAATACGTGTGGAGCACTTTACGGCTAATAACCAGTAATCTAGCCCGAGGTGTGTGTTTTTATGAGCACAACAGCTCAAGTGCATCGGCACCATGTAGGTATACATAATATAAGTTATGGATATATATATATGTAAGTTTGCTTTTGTGTATTTTCTATATACAAAAGGGATGATCCATGCATGAAATTGATCAATTGTCAAACGAAAGCCCATTACATCATCTTCGACACTTTAGATTTTCAAAAGGAACACGATGAACTTGAGAGAATCCCTCGTAACGAAGACGCACCCTCCCTTCCTTTTTTCTCACTTTCTTTGCGAGCCATTGACTCCCTCAGGTAGAAGAGAAGTCATACTAACCCTCAATCATGTCAAGGTATATACACACACACAATACGCCCCTATTCTTGAAGAAAAAAAAAACGGAAATTGGAGAAAGTTGTCTTTTCATAGAATAAAGACAAAGATCAAGTCAGAGTTGACACAAAAATTTAGTTTTGTGTTTCCCTGACTTTTTCCTGATTTCCAGAAAAAAAAATTTCCCTTTTTTCCTGAACCTAAAGAATTATTTTCATCATTTCAATTCAATTATTATATTATAGAATTTTTAACTAGAATTCTTCTTTACATCAATTATTTATATTCATTTGTAAAAAAAGTTCATATAGAGAATTTTCAAATCCATTTGTTTAGAATTCAATTTTACGAAATTTCAATTATTCGAAAATACTTCAATAATTAAATTCGTAATTATTAGAAAATAAAAAAACTTCAAATAATTTTTTAAAAAAATCCAATTAAACTTTTTCAAAACAATTAATTCAACAAAAATATTAGTTAAAAGTATGAAAAAATTAGATTTTAAAAAATTTTAATTCCAAACTTTTTCAAAATTCAATTATTTTCCAAAATTCCTATATAATAATTTTAATATTCAATTATTAAATAAAATTAAATAAAATAAGATTAAATTAAATTAAACTAAATTAAATTAAAATTATACAATAATTTATTCAAGAATTTAATCTTTCTTAAAATTAAATTCTCATAAAGAATTTTAACAACAATTTTTAAATAATTGAATTTCTTTGACGAATTTTAATAAAATTTTTAAGAATTGTATTAAAAATAATTAAAATTCTGCGATGAGTTTTATTATTTATGAAAGTTATTAAATTATTGCGAAAAAATTTATAAAAAATTTGTAAATAATTGAATTTCTGGGAAATGTTTTTTATTTATGAAAATTCTTCAATTAAATATATATTAGAAAATAAAAAGTTCAAATAATTTCAAAAAAATTCAGTTAAACTTTCTCAAAAAATTAATTCTACAGGATTGTTAGTTAAAAGTATGAAAAATTCAGATTTTTAAAGATTTTAATTTAAAACCTTTTTAAAATTCATTTATTTTGAAAAATTCTCACTAACATATAATGTTTTTAATATTCAATTTTATAATCTGAAATTTTAACTGAAATTTATTTTTAAATCAATTTTTATCAGAAAATTTTAAGTGAATTCAATTATTTCAATACAAAAATAAATATATAATTTATTGAATGTTTCTTAAAATTTAGTTCTTATAAAGAATTTTATCAACCAATTTTTAAATAATTGAATTCTCTTGTCGAATTTTGATAAAATTTTGAAAAAATAATTACATTTAAAATTTTTTATAACATTTTTAGAAGAAATTCAATTATTTCATAAAATTTTTATAACATTTTTCTCAAGAATTCAATTATTTTTATAAATAATAAAATTCTTCTGAGGAATTTAATTATTTTCAATAAAATTTTAATAGAGAATTTATTGAACTCATTCAAATTTTTAAAAATTAAAATAAATTTTTTCGAAGAAACTCAATTAGGGGAACATAGTCTAGGTCGGCCACCTTTTTGACTTTTGTTTATAACTTTTTTTTAAAAATGAATTTGGACAATTGAAGTATATGGTTGGAAAGTCCTGTTTAATAGGAACATTTTTTCTGTACAAAGTAAATTGACAGGTTTAAAAATGAAAAAGTTATAAAGATTTAAAAAAAAAAAAATTTGTAGTCCAGGTTGGCCATTACAGTCAAGGTCGGCCATGTTTAAAATTCAAAGGGCATTAATCGTTAAAAAATAAAATAACATGTTTGGAGTTACGGAAAATTGATTCTTTATTGTTTACAGTTTGTAACTTAATGAAATAACAAAATAATAACAATAAACAATATAAAAAAATAAATATAAATAAAAAAAAGTTTTGCACTAAAATATTAATAAAATTAAATAAAAATATTAATAAGATGATCAATTATATTATGAGTTATACAGAATTGCAGTTTTTGCAAATGAAGTAGCTCGTCCTCAACTTTGCGCATTTTAAACACATAGTGGCCGACCTTGACAGTAAGTAACATTACCGAATTGTTGTAACCATAAAGAAATACGTTTCGGGATTCGATTTTTTACTTTGTTTTCCTTTCAACCATGAGTCCCACAAATTTTCTGCATACTTGCCTTGACGATTCAATTTGTTTTTTATCTTTTATTAATGGTTTTTCACATTATGCACAAAACTTTTTTTGAGCTTTTTTTGTACCGACGTCACAGAAAACACAATTTTCGATTTTCCGAAAATGTAATTGAACAAAAAGTTAGGTTTCACTAAGACAAGCTTCGACAAAAATGCGCGTAGGTGGCGCTAGTGAACTTGACAAAAAAACGCGAGTGGCCTACCTAGACAGTAGGCCAACCTTGACTACATTCCCCTATTATTCTCAAAAGTTTTAATAAAATTCTTTGTAAATTTCAATTATTTTCAAAAATTTTCAATTAAAATTTATAAAAAGACTACATTATTTTCAAGAAATTTAACGAAATTCTTCAAAAAAATTTTATTATTTGCAAAAACTAAAAAATAAAATTATAATTACAATATTATTAATAAACAAGATTTATTTTAAAAACTTAAAAAAAATTCTTCATAAAATTCAATTCCTTTCAAAACTTTAAATAAAAATTATCAAAAAAACTTAATTATTTTCGAAAAATTCAAATAAATTTTTCAAAACAATTCAATTATTTTCAGTAAAATTTTGTATAAAATTTCTTCAAAGAATTCAATAATTATTTTCGAAAATTGTAATAAAATTATGGAAAGAATTCAATTATTTTTCAAAAAATGTTTATAAAAGTCTCGTAAAGAAATAATTGAATTTATAAAAAGAATTTTATTATTTACGAAAATCATTAAATCCGTGTAAAAATTTCATTATTTCTGAAAATAATTGAATTATTTTTTTAATAATTTACATTATTTTATGACAATAATTAAAGGTTTTCGTAGAATATTATTAAATTTTTTTTAAATAATTGAATTCCTTTTGACAATTTTCTTAAATTTTTGAAAATAATTGAAATTTTGGCAAGAATTTTATTAAAATTTTTGAAAATAATTGAATTTCGGAGAAGAATTTTATTACTTTTGAAAATAATTGAATTTCTGCTCAATCATTTGTAATTTCTCTAAAATTCTCCAAATTATATCGTACAATTTACGAACTTTTCGTCTTTTCTCAATCAAATTAGAGAAAAACAAAATTAAATTTTTGTTGCAACCCTGATTAATTTTTTCCCCAGAAATTAGTGGACGACTTTTCAATAATTTAGATTTAGAGAGTAAATGCGTGGAATTTTACCTCTCATATTTTGAAATATAAAAATTACATCTGCAAAAGTAGAGAGATTTTTTTTCTTCCTATACTACTTTTACATTTTCATTTTTCGAAAATAAGACGTGTCAATAATAATGAAATAATTGACAAGACTATAACGAAAAGAGTGAAATGTATAATTTGAAATGAAAAGCAAAGATGAAAAATGAAATTAACGTGACACACTTTTGAAGAAGATAATACACAAAACGGGATTGGATTGACGATGAGGATAAGTATAAGAAACGAGTAAATAGGGACAGCTATATACACACTTGAAAGCTCAGTGAATCACTTGTTTTCCAGTTGTCCGACATTAACAAAGGGGGTAGAAAGTAGAAAATCGATGACACCAACGACAACCTCTTAAATCATTAAACGATTAAAATGATCGCTGTTGTACCTAATGGGATTTTATTTCCATCACATTTTATCACTATCGACTAGAGCGTAAACAATTTCTCCTTTCCCATAATAAATTTTTTTTTTCGCCTAGCTCTGAATTTCAATTTTATTCAATCTATTTCGATGACACAATTATTTTTTGTCGCGCCATTGACACTCTGGGTCAATTTGACACACAAACTTCATTAGATTTTCTAAGGATAATTTTAAATATCGTTACACTCAATTATAGTTTTCTTGAATAAGTATATCAAATTATTTCTTTAAATATGAACCAAAAAAATATGTTTCAATTGTATGAAAAAATAAATTTTTCCTCTGTGTAAAAATAAATTTGTATAAAAAACAAAAGTTTGCATTTGTATGAAAAATGATTTTTTTATATTTACATAAAAATAAATGAAATTTATACGAAAAATAAATTATTTCGTCCCAGTAATTAATATAGAAGAAAATTGAAATAAAAACTTACTGGCATTCGTTCATAATTTCTTCTTGTGTTCGAACTTGTACTGGCGCCAGGGACTCGACATCGGTTCCATAATCGCGGAAACAGGAAGTGATTTTCTCGTCGAAGGTATTCACTAAGTCCTCTAAACTTCCACTGAAGGGACTAAAAGTTCCCTCCTGAAGAATATCCGTTCCATTTTCGTGTGTCGTCACTGGCTCGTTTGCATTGCAATTTTCACCGAAACTAGCCTCGAGGTTTGCATCCAACAATTGTTCTGGAAAAAAATGTGAACAAAAACAAAACTAGGTCATTTCCACACTCTTTTGAATCGAAAAACACATGAGTGCTAAATTTAAAGATATAAAATACTTCTATTTTAAATATGTAGAATAAAAAGAAAAATTATTGATTCAAATAAATTATTATTATTATTATTATTTGCGGCACAAATAAATATTTATTTGTATAGAATAATTTTTATTTGCAAGCAATAAGTTTTATTTAAGTCAATTAAATTGTATTTGACTCAAAGAGTGAAATTTTTTGTTTAATTAGAATTTATTTGATTTAGGTAAATATTTATTTAGGTTAATATTTATTTACTTGATTCAAGTAAATATTTATTCGAATCAGCAATATTCATTGGATTCAAGTAAATATTTATTTAATTCAATTACAATTTATTTAATGTAGGTAAATATTTACTTGATTCAAGTAACAGGATGCCACACTTTTGCTTTTTTCAAATTTCCTGACTTTTCCAGATTTTCCAGGTGAAAAAACGGAATTTTACCAGGTTTTTAAAACGAAAATTATTCCAAAACATCAATAGCTTCATTTTTTGAATAAATATTTAATCATTATTTTTTTTTTTTAAATTAATATTATCAAAAATTTTAAATTCAATAAAATAAGAATATTATTAAAAACATGAAGATATCAATCGCTTTCTTCATGTTTTATAATAATATTAAAACTTGCTACTTTGTTACTGTAACTTTTTTAAAAATTATTTTCATCATTATACGATTATTCATTTTTTCTAGAATTTTCAAATAAAATTCTTCTTTAAGTCAATTTTTAAAAAATAATTTTTGAAAGAGTTCTTTGTGAATTTTGAAATTCTTTTGTTTACAATTTAATTTTACGAAATTTAGATTATTCTGATATTCTTCAATCAATTAAATATATTAGAAATTGAAAACTTCAAATAATTAAAAAAAAATTCAATTAAACTTACCCAGGTGCGAATTTAGGTTGGCCGCCAGAGTTTGAAGGTTGGCCCAAGGTTGGCCTAACTTTGGCAAGCAAAGTTTTGGTTGCCAGAGTTTGCCCAACTTTGGCAAGTACTTGTGCCCACAGTTGGCCCGACTTTGCAAGCCAACCATTAAATGCAGAGTTTAACCAACCGTCGGGCCAACTTTGGCGACAAAGGTTGGCACAACTTATCCAAACGTAGTTTAAAAGACTTTCAGTTTTGGTTGGCCGAACTCTGGGCCACGGTTGGCCCGACGGTTGGCAAAACTATGTGAAACGCAGTTTAAATGACTTAAACTTTCTTGGTTGGCCGAACTCTGGGCCACGGTTGGCCCAACGGTTGGCAAAACTATGTGAAACGCAGTTTAATTGACTTAAACTTTCTTGGTTGGCCGAACTCTGGGCCACGGTTGGCCCAACGGTTGGCAAAACTATGTGAAACGCAGTTTAAATGACTTAAACTTTCTTGGTTGGCCGAACTCTGGGCCACGGTTGGCCCAACGGTTGGCAAAACTATGTGAAACGCAGTTTAATTGACTTAAACTTTCTTGGTTGGCCGAACTCTGGGCCACGGTTGGCCCGACGGTGGGCAAAACTTTGTGAAACACAGTTTAATTGACTTAAACTTTCTTGGTTGTCCGAACTCTGGGCCACGGTTGGCCCAACGGTTGGCAAAACTCTGTGAAACGCAGTTTAATTGACTTACATTATTTTGGTCGGCCGAACTCTGGGCCACGGTTGGCCCAACGGTTGGCAAAACTATGTGAAACGCAGTTTAAATGACTTAAACTTTCTTGGTTGGCCGAACTCTGGGCCACGGTTGGCCCAACGGTTGGCAAAACTATGTGAAACGCAGTTTAATTGACTTAAACTTTCTTGGTTGGCCGAACTCTGGGCCACGGTTGGCCCGACTGTTGCAGCTTAAATATACATTTTGCGTTATGCACTCCCATGTGAGCGTAGCGTAGTGGTCAGTGTATAAGTCTTCGGTGCGTTAGGTTAGGGGTTCGATCCCAGCGAGCGATAGATATTTTCGAAAATGTATGTATGAGATTGTGTTTAATAATAATAGGTAAAGGTTATATCTGATGTTCCCGCTAATAATAACCTGTTAATTGTTTAAATAATGTAGTTTTTTAATAATTTTTTACCTTTGGCTGTTGAAGTTGGCCAAACTTTGAAAATTGTGGTTGGCCCAACTTACGCATCTAAAGTTGTGCCAACTTTGGCGTCAGTCTTTGGACCAACCATTGAAATGTATAGTTGGCACAACATATGCATTGTAAGTTGGGCCAACTTCCTTATGAGTTGTCGGGCCAACCATCGTCGCCATTAGACGGTCGCCGTTATCATCTGTATGGTTGGCCCAACCTCTGGCACGAGAAGTTGGACCGACTTTGTAAAAGTTGGCCCAACTATGGGCCGACCAAAAAATCGCACCTGGGTATATTGAGAAAAATTCTATACAATTCTTAATTAAAAGTATGAAAAGTTCAAATTTTCAAAGATTTTAAATTGAAATTCAATTTTAAATCAATATCCTATTTATTAGAAAATTCTACGAGAATTAAATTACTTAACTATAAAAATAAATATTTTATTAAACAATTGAATGTTTCTTAAAATTGAATTTTCATAAAGAATTTTATCAATAAATTTTTAAATATTTGAATTCTTGTGAAATTTTTATTATTTGTGACAATAATTAAATGTTTGCGTACAATTTTATTAAAATTGTTTTTAATTTTTAAATAATTGAATTTTGAAGAAGAATTTTTTTATTTATAAAGATAGTAATTGGGATTTTGTCGAGAATTTTTTGTAAATTTTGAACAAAATTGAATTTTCTGATAAGAATTTTGAAAATAATTAAATTTCTGAAATTTAATGAAAATTGTATTAAAAATAATTGAAATTCTGCCAAGAATTTTATTAAAAGTTTTGAAAATAATTGAATTTCTTAGAAAAATAATATTATTTATAAAGATAATTGACTTTTTGACGAGAATTTTTATAGATTTCTAAACATAATTGGATTTCTGCGAAGAATTTTATTAAAATTATTTTGAAAAAATTGAATTGTTACGCAAAGAATTTCATTAAAATTTTTGGAAATAATTTTATTTTTTAAAGAAATTTAATTAAAAATGTATTGATATTGAAAATAATACTTAAATTCTAATAAATAAATTGTAGCAAAGGTTATTAAAATAATAAAATTTCTTTGATAAATTAAAAAAAAAAATTTTTTAAGAATAATAACTTTTTTCGAGGAATTCTATTAAAATTTTGTATTAAAAATAATTGAAATTCAGCATTGAGTTTTATTATTTATGAAAATAATTGAATCCCTGTAAAAAAAAGGTTATTATTTATGAAAATAATTTGTAAATAATTAAATTCCTGCGTGAAATGTTTCTTATTTACGAAAATAATGAAATGTTTGCGTAGAATTTTATTAAAATATTTTTTAACTAATTGAATTCTTTTAGGAATTTTTATTAAAGTAATAGATATTAAAAATCATTGAATTGAGAAAAGTTTTTAAATATAATTAAAATTTTGCCAAGAATTTAAAAAAAATATTTTGAAAATAATTGAATTTCTGAGAAGAATTTTACTATACTTTTGAAAATAATTTAATTTCTGCAATCATTTTTGTTAATAAAACTAGTTAAATATATATATATATATATATATTAAAAAATTGAACTAATTTCAGAAGAATTTTACTTTAAAATTTTCTTTTTAAATCTAAGTTTCCTTATATTTCTAATTCAATTCATTAAAAATTGAAATTTTACAAAATTTTAAATCAAAATCTTTTGAAGTTCATCTACTTATGAAAATTGTAAGCGCAATTCTTTAAAAATTGAATTTATTTTGAAATATTTAAGTGAAATTAGATTTCAAGAAGTTAATGTTTATTTAATTCAATTACAATTTATTTGATTTAAGCAAATATTTATTTGATTCAACAATATTTATTCAATTCAAGTAAATATTCATTTGATTCAAGTAAATATTTATTTGATTCAATTACTATTTATTTAATTTAAGTAAAATATTTATATCATGAAGCAATATTTATTCGATTCAAGTAAATATTTATTTGACTCTAATTGAATCAAATAAAAAAAATTGACATGAATCAAGTAAATATTCATTTGATTGGATTATTAAAATTTTAACTACATTTCAAAAATTTCAATTTCGAAAAATTTTAAATTATAGAAATTGTGAGACAAAAAATTCGTTTCACGAATAATTTCCATTGATGAATGATTGTTTTGTAAAAATTACCATAATTTGCTCGAATTCGAATGATTGGCATCATTGTGTAATATGAAGGAGGAAAATAAAGAGAAAAAAAATATGGTCACTGTGGAAATTTGCGATATTGAAACGTTTCTTGACCACTTGTTTTCTTATAGAAGGTGTACATAAAACTTGAGTTGGTCGATACTCTGAACCCTTTATAGAGTCGAGTGTGCCGTTTTTGGCACAAACCGGTTATGACTGTATCAGCCGACCTAAGAAAGACTTCCTCCCTTAAATGTCCATCTTTAAGGTTCAATGTTCTCTCCTATCAATTCAATTGTTACTGTAATCTGTAATTTACTAGTTTACCTTTTAATTATTAAATAACGTTTAATTAGGTACTTTTAATTCAAGTTCACAAACAAAATTTGACAAAATATATCAAGCAATGCAATTTTTCAGAAATTGTAAGAATAATTGAATTGTTTTGAATTTTTCAGGAAAATTAAATATTATTTTAAAAAATAACACCGTTTTTTTAAAGTCACTTTTTTATTCTAATGTGTTATTTTTGTCCTTTCCTTTATTTTTCTTACAATAAAATTTAAAAGAAAAGAAAGTGCGTTTTCTTAACAATTTAAACAAGCGAACTAGCATTTTCAAGTTAAAAATATTTTTGTTTCTATTTGTAGTCCACTATAATGAGGCTTATCTCTTACATAAATGATAAAAAAAGTTTGTTAGCATGCACACACT